GCAGATGTTACATGTATACAACTTATTTATTTGGCAGTGATAGAGATCCAACGTGTAAGAACGTACATTTGCCTGACCCATTTTGGCAGAGGAAAGTATGGCATATGTCACATGTAAATAATCAAAACAAGACAAAAATGTATTTCTAGTCCTGTTGATTTAACGACATAGCAATTTAGTCCCAAATTTTTACATTTTCGCCTTTTGGTTTTGTGATTCAATGTTTTGTTGTAATTTTACTCATCAAATGACTGAAATTACAACAAAATATTAAATTGAAATAAGAGTTTAAATTATAAAAGACTGAAATTGCTAATAAACCTATAAATTTGGAAATTATTACAATTTGAGTACTTTGAAGACTGAAATTATAGCAAGATATTAAATCACAAGACTAATAGGCGAAATGTTAGAATTAGACATGGCCAAATGATGTAGGGAAAGCATATGAGTGGGAAAAATAAACGAACGAGATACCCTCTCGATAAAACTCACAATCTCATTTTTTATTCAATAATCAACTAATGAAAATAAACTAGGGGGAGTCCTTTATATAAGGCTCCTAACCGTAGACCTAACTTGTCCAACAAGACAAGAACTCTTATTAAATATTAAACAATTCCTAACTTATTCTCCAAGATAACTAATAATAATAATAATTATAATAATAATAATAATAATATAATAATCTAATTATTCTGCATCATTCTCCTCCGGTTGAGCAGGATTCGCCCTCGAATCCGACCCGTCCCCGTGGGAGACGTTCGCAACACAGCAACAACCCGAACGTTTCCCCCGATCGAACACGAAGGTTGAAAGTCGTCCAACAATTTCGAAGGTAAACATAATATCGGTCAAGGATTCAACTGCCGCAAAGTCACATGTATACGACACCCGACGCAAAGCCCACACAACCGAATGAACACAAAACAGACCACATCGTTCACCGCGCATAAATCTATAACTACGGCCAAGCATCCCGGTGTTGGGAGACTTCGGGAACAACAATCGAAAAATGGCCCACCAGTTATGGAGTCTCGGCTTCGGCTCCGAAAAACCATCTTTGGCCAAAATACTCAAAAAATCGGGTGTGAATGACGGTTGCCCATTCGAAGACTCAACCATTCCGACGTCCCACGCGGGACCCATATTACTGCAAAAATATGTCTTCGTCACCGGAGGCTCTTCATCAAAAATTGGCGGACCGTCGTAGATATCGCACGTGTCAGGCTCAAAATTCAGGGAATCTATAAACTCGAAGTCAAAGCCTGTTTGTGGCTGTTCAGGCCCAAAATAAGGATTAAATTCATCCTTCCCCTGAGCCCAATAAATTGAATTCGGCGCAGGCCCAAAAACGACATCACCCTCACAAGCCCAAAAAATGCTTTTGTGAGGCCCAGAAGTGCAACTGGAGTCGTCTCTTTCACACGCCCAAAATCCGTTTCCATGTACGAAACTACCTCCAGCCCGCCGCTGCTCGCGAACTCGGGGCTGACCTGTGGTTTCGTCTCCTCGCCATGGTGGTCGATCTGCCAACGGGTTAGCCGACCAGGTAAAGTCATCATCCTTGATGCCGTTCAGAGGTGGCGGGGATCGCTGCCGGGGCGCCCCGACATGGCTGCGTCCCCCACAACCGCCTCTGTCTCCCCCGCGAAAGCCACGACCCACAGCCCCATCGCGGTTCGTCTGCAATTCCGAAACAATCACGTTGTTAAGCGTCAAATGCACATCCTCGATCCTCGTCGAAAGATCGGCAAACCAATCCGTGAAACGCACGTCCAATTGTTCAAATCGGTAGTCGATCTGTTGAAATCGATCGTTGAAGGTTGCGTCACGTCGTTCGTCTGCGGCATCTTCTCGTCCCGGCGACATCGCGAATCGTACTGACTGCTGATACCAACTGATGTAGACCCTAGTAAGATATTGTCCGCTTTGGGCTACTTCCGCCACCCGCACGGCTTTGTTCTTGGCTGGGCTTCAATACACACCCACCAAAATGCGTCTTACTAGTGAAGGTATCCACACCCTCATATAAGGCCTGCTTCGTTTCCCTTCAAACCCGATGTGGGATGCGCTGCATCACTTATATAAAGGACTCCCCCTAGTTTATTTTCATTAGTTGATTATTGAATAAAAAATGAGATTGTGAGTTTTATCGAGAGGGTATCTCGTTCGTTTATTTTTCCCACTCATATGCTTCTCCTACATCAGTTTGGTATCAGAGCCAGCCCATGTGCCAGCGGTGACCGCTGGGCCCAAGGGGGGGGTGGATGATGCAGCGCATCCCACATCGGGTTTGAAGGGAAACGAAGCAGGCCTTATATGAGGGTGTGGATACCTTCACTAGTAAGACGCGTTTTGGTGGGTGTGTATTGAAGCCCAGCCAAGAACAAAGCCGTGCGGGTGGCGGAAGTAGCCCAAAGCGGACAATATCTTACTAGGGTCTGCGCCACCAAATGGCGGGCCGGTTCAGGGCCCGGCCCGGCCCGACGGACCGAAGGGTTGGATTTTGTCGACCCTGAACCGGCACGCCCTAAACCCGTGCTGAGCCCATGACCCGTCGGGCCGGGCCGAGCCCGACCTGAGTCTGACCCAGAAAAATTAAAAAAAAAGGAAAAAAAATAGAAAAATTCAAAAACAATTGATTTTCCCATGTCGAACCGGACCCGGCCCGACCCGCCGGGTCGGTGTCGAAAAAAAGACGACCTGAACCGGCCCGGTTGAAAATCCGAGCCGGGCCCGGACCCGTGGTCAACGGGTTTTACCGGTCCGGGCCCGTGCCGGGTCCTGGCCGGATCCGTGCCGGGTCGGCGGGCCGGTTGACCCGTGGCTATGTCTAGTTAGAATAGCAAATAAGCAGTTTGCATCTTCTTTCTGAAGATCTCCAGAAGTAAGAAGTAAAACTAAAACGCAACTTACTATACACAGAGGTCGATTTTCTTTTTGGAGGCGCTTTACACAAGCTTTTTCAGTCATTTCTTTTACAATATCACCTTCAAAAGAAAGAGAATGCAAAAGTGTTGGACACTGACATACATATAACATAATCACTTTCAAGATATGTGGTATTTTCTAGTAAATACATTTACAAACTAGGCAGAAGCATTTAAATCACATCTGCAACTAACCCATTACTAATTTAGCTTAAAGATTTCAAATTTAAATCCAAACCTTCTGAATCACCACTGCATAACAATAAAACAGTCAATACATTCTACAATTAGCTTTTCTAATACATCTAATAATGTATCAATACTTCCAAAATCAATTAATCACCAGCTGATGAACATATCAAGAACGCATCTCGATTTTCCTAAACTTCTATATCACTTAATTGGACCCCAAATTTAGAAAAAAACAAAATATCAACAAATGCTCCCAAAATCTACAAAATTCTCATCCCATATCCTTCTTGACAGATAACTGTAACACGAAAACGAGCGTCGCCCATTTCAATCCAACACCAGTTAGTGATCACGGCGAACTCTAATTCAAAAACCAGCTAATTGGCCAAATCAGTAAACCCTCAACATTACCACCGACTAATTTTTTTTTTTTTTAAAGAAAAATCAACATAAATCCAAACTCATAAACTACAAACATACATGACCAAACACAGCCAAATCAAGCGAGCTGTTGATTGAGAAGAAAACACCCGACTAAAGCAGCCCAGGCGTTGAAATTGGGGAAAGCATGAGAAAGAGAAATCTTCGAGGGGTCAAATTGTAATTTCAGTGTGAATGGCAGTGATGAATTGGTGAAAAGACAAGTTTGCCTCTTGAAATGTTCGCTAGGATTGTACAAAAGTAATGGTAGATGAGGATTTTGGCTTAAACAACTTTTATCCGGTAAAAAAAATTATTAATGATATAAGTAATAAATTAAATTTTGCTTTGAATAAACCAAAATTCAACAGTCTTGCCCGGATTTTTGATGGGCCGAATTCTGATCCAGAACCCACCCAGCAACTTGAGTTACGTATTAGTCCAGGTTTCCGAGAAGATAAGTAGGCCTAGTTAGTTAGGAGCAAAGCCCATCAAAGCACTGTTCGTGTTGGCCCAGCCCAACCATGAAAGCTACAAAACTTTTTGGGCTATTGAAAGGAATACAGATGTGTCTTAGCCAATCTTTATATCATACAATTTTTATTTCATTCTCCAAGGGTTGAGTGGTGTCCTTTAACCATAATTTTTCCATCTAAACGACGGTGGGATACAAATAACCTAATAAATAATTATTTTCCTTAAATAAGCATTATTAAATATTTTTAACAAATTTATTATTCTTTTATCAACTCATATGATTTTAACTACCAATAGTTTGTATTCATTGTTTTATAGTTTTATATTATATGACATATCAACTCTTTATAATTTATATTATACACATTAAATATTTATCAACTCATATGGTTTTAACTATCAATAATTTATATTCATTATTTTACTATTTTTATGGTATATCAATTTTTTGGAATTTATACTATATCTCTTCTCATAAATTACGCCCTTCAATAAAAATATTCTACATTTTAACTCATTTTTTTATCGTTGAGACAGTGTTTTGTGACTCTGGTTTGGCCCAAGTAGGTCCTTTGAACAAGTCAACAATCGATACTATTAAAAATCTATCGGCTCAGCCTGGATCAAGATTAAATAATTACTTTTTAGTTTTTTTTAAATATATATTATTTTTTTATATATATTTCTTCAGTAAATGACTAAATATTATGACCAGATTAACGTGTGAAAGTGATTAACAAGCTTATTTCATTGGACCTAACTCATGTAGCAAATTTTCATATCATGAAACAATATAAAGATTAGGAGGTATATACATTTTATATTGAAAAATTTAAAAGTTATGTTGTTGTGTTGCTAATTCAATATATCAAATTATTGAATCGTATACAACTTATATATGGCATCTCTATAATTATAATTGTCAAGTCAAACTATTTTAAACCAATATTTTAGACAAACTAAATAATCTACCAACATTTATCTTATTTCGAAAGCTTATAAAAAAGAAAATAAAAAAATCACCAACAGCTTTATGCCCCCGACATTTCATAAATAACTATGTCTTATGTAGCGTTTAGATTGGTCTGAACGTCAACAGATCAAGTCTAGTTTTCTAATTAGTTTTAAATCATGAAATTACAATATAGTGATACACACCAAACCTGGATTCCCATCTTACACATTCACAGCTGTAATGAGCTACATGTAAGATATCGTGTTTTTCCACA